TGAAAAGTGTTTAGGCATTACCCTACCTAGTGGTAAAAGATGAACACTTTCCTCTAAGATTGGGACTAAGGCAATAAAGTCTTCCCTCATCACTTGTACTCAGCATTGTACTGGAGGCCCTAGCCAGTACAAGGACACAAGGAAAATAGATATAAGGCAGAGAGATTGAGAAGTCATTATCACTTACAAAGACAGTCATAAGGAATCTACAAAAAACTGATACATGAATTTAGCAACATGCAGGACACAAACTCAGTAAATAAAAACCAGTTGTATTTCTATACACTAGCAAAAAACAATTGGAAAATTAAATAACACAAGTTTCAACAGCAAAAGCATGTTTTCTTGGGGATACATTTAACAAAAAGTGCATAAAATATGTATCCAGAAAGTTATGAAAATTGCAGAGATAATAAAGAAGACCTAAATAAACGGAGAGACCTAAATAAATGTTCATGGATTAGAAGATGTAATATTTTTCAGTTGGTAGCTGGAAGGGTTAGAATGATGGCTTTTTCTTAGCACTTAACAAATATCCAGGAGGACAGTTCTTTATCTTTCCTCTATTCTTTAACTCATTAAACACTTTACTATAATAGAGTGCAATTGATACTTGATAGGTTCTGTCTCATATGAAACAATAAGCTCCTTACATTTCTCTGTCTGGCAGGAACAATGAGACTTTTTTCTTGTTCTTCACGCCCAGTATCATTCGAGGAGGATTGTGTTAGAAGACCCATGATTACTTTCTGTTTACCTCTGACTTCTGGGCAATTTTTATTTGACCCTGGCACTGCTCTGTTAGAGTTTAGATGCACATGCTAAATTTTATGATGAGGATCATGAGTATTAATATTTTCTTTGTCCCAGATCTTGACTTCATTCTCACAATAAATAGCTCTACCTTTAGATGCTAAGATAGCCCTATGGACTACAACTGCTCTACCTGGTCTACTCACCCAATCCCTACAAACCGTGCCTCCTGTCCCTTGTCAGTCCCCAGATCTGTTGTCTCTCAACATTATTCCATCACACAATTAGCAATTCTTTTTTCTTTTTTCTTTTTTTTTTTTTTGTAGCAATTGTTTCCCTTCCTTCCTGGGATCCAACAAATGGTTTTCAAAGAATAGGCCCTCTCACACTTCTGAACTCTTACTGACCTTAAAATCTATAGTTACAAACAACCTTTGGGTAGGTCCCATTATATACTATCATTATATCAACATGTTGAATTGTGTATTTATCCTTTTTTCCTTCCCTAAAATTTTAACAGAATTTTCTAAAAGAAATTACCTCTATCTTTAATGTGTTTTTTTAATTTTTAAAGGCTCATCATTTTGTTCTTTAAAAACAGATTTATTGAAATATAATTTATATGCCATAAATGTACCTTTAAAGGGATGCAATTAAGTGGTTTTAACTGTATTCACAAAG